TGTCTTGTCAATGAACATGTAGACATTAACAATAATGATATTAGATATTATTAGAGTGAAATGGCGTAAGTCGTTAAATCATGCACAGTGGACATTAACAGAGTGGCGATGGGACAATGGCGTCGGCATTTTGTGATCGACATCCGGAAAAGGACAGTAGGACGTGTTGGAGCAGTAAATATAAATTTATATAAAGGGCATTTTAGTATACTAGAATTAATAATTAGTTATTAGTTAATTAATTAATTAATTAGACACTGGTTATGGAAACTATGTCCCTGATTATTTGTTCATTTTTTATTTTTTGTCAAAATTTGTAAACTTTGACCTCAAATTAAATAAAAATGGTATTAGATAGATATTGATACATATATAGTTTGTTAGATTTATTATATGAAATATTTTCAAAATATTATTTTATCAAATTAATATACACTATATTTTTTGTTTAGTTATAGGTCAAAGATATATGAATATGTTATCTCTAGGTCAATAAAGAAATTGACATCATATCAAAAAATTAACTCAATTAAGATCGTAAAGAACCTTACTGTATTTTATCATAAAGAAATTGGGTATTTGGAAAAAAGAAAGATTCACTTGTCAACCTATGAAAAATGTGAGAAAATCCACATTTCACTTGTTATTCTTAAAACTATAAACGGGATTATTTTTATATATAATTACTCCCTTTGTTCTTTTTTTTAACCCTGTATTTGTTGGGAATGCAACCTAGCTAGTCTCACACCAAAAGAATTGGAGGTGCCCAAAAACAAATCCATAAGGACTACGGGGTTAGGGTGAGCGCACATGCAGTCCCAACATTATTTTGATGTCTTCTGCTCCAATTACACTATAAAATTTATATCAATCCAAAAATAATAGAGTTTCATTTTCATGTTTATAGGACAGTATAATGGTATCCCGCAATGTGTTTTTATTGTTATATTTTGATATTATTGATAAAAATTAATTTTGATATTTTCATCATATTTTATTTTTAATTTAGTCATTTTATTGAGATTTATTGAGTTCCATCCAATTATTGACAACAAGGGGGTATTGGACGGATCCAGTGAATCTGAGAATCCTGGCCGTCCAAAGAATATACGCAGGGAGCGGATATGATTGACACTAAAAGTAGTTCCACTCACCATTCCGATCAGATGAAATAACAATGTGATTAAAGTAACTTTGCAACACACTAAAAAAATTGTAACTTTACGTGATTAAGACCGGGCATATATGGATAATGGATATATAGACTTAGACTCATTCCTGAGGGTCACCTCAATAAGATTAAAATAGTATGTCATTTTTTAATTTAAGACTTAAATTTTTCATTTTTTAAATATATTTAATACTCCCTCCGTCCTAAAACTTTCTTCCCGGTTCGCAAAACGAAGAAAAATCCTAAGTTTTTTCAATCTATTTTATTTAAATATTGGTATAGAAATAAAAAATAAAACATACATATTTAAAAACTACATCAAAAGTTCAACAAAACAAGTAGTGACAAGAATATTTTATTTTATCATATAGGCCATGAAAAAACACAAATAAATATAAATTCCCGTGAAGTTTGAATAGTGCTCTGGGAAGAAAGTTTTAGGACGGAGGGAGTAATATTTTTAGTAGGAGAAATAATTTCCAGTGATGGTGAATATATACTTGAATAATGACTCATGATTAATAGTCAATGATCCTACATTGAAAAATAAAAATATTTGATCCTATATTATCTTCGGTCATACTATTTCTTTTTAAAATTTCATATGATCCTACATTTATCTACACTTACTTCGATTGATATGAAATCTTAAAAAAATAGTATAGCCGGAGATAATCTAAGCTGTGTGCACCCCAAGTAAAAAACCGTCATATTTAGCATTTCACCGGATGCATAAAGTTGTGTGCGCCTCAAGTGAAAAACCGTCCTATTTAGCATTTCACCGTATACATAAAGCTGTGTGCGCCCCAAGTGAAAAACCGTCATATTTAGCATTTCACCATATACATAAAACTGTGTGCACCCCAAGTAAAAAACCGTCATATTTATCATTTCACCGTATACATAAAGTTGTGTGCGCCCCAAGTGAAAAACCGTCCTATTTAGCATTTCACCGTATACATAAAGCTGTGTACACCCCAAGTGAAAAACCTTTCTATTTAGCATTTCACCGTATACATAAAGCTGTGTATGTGCACCCTAAGTGAAAAAAACCGTCCTATTTAGCATTTCACCGTATACATAAAGCTATGTATGTGCACCTCAAGTGAAAAACCGTCCTATTTAGCGTTTCACCGTATACATAAAGCTGTGTGCACTTCAAGTGAAAAACCATCCTATTTAGCATTTCACCGTATACATAAAGCTATGTGCGCCCCAAGTGAAACCCTGTCCTATTTAGCATTTCACCGTATACATAAAGTTGTGTGCACCCCAAGTGAAAAACCTTGCTATTTAGCATTTCACCGTATACATAAAGTTGTGTATGTGCACCCGGGCCGCACCCCAAGTGAAAAACCGTCCTATTTAGCATTTCACCGTATACATAAAGCTGTGTGCACTTCAAGTGAAAAACCGTTCTATTTAGCATTTCACCGTATACATAAAGCTGTGTGCACCCCAAGTGAAAAACGTCCTATTTAACATTTCACTGTATACATAAAGCTGTGTGCACTTCAAGTGAAAAACCGTCCTATTTAGCATTTCACCGTATACATAAAGTTGTGTGCGCCCCAAGTGAAAAATCTTCATATTTAGCATTTCACTGCATACATAAAGCTGTGTGCGCTCCAAGTGAAAAACCGTCTTATTTAGCATTTTAACGATATTTTTTGAAAAAAAGTTCGCAAATTGTTCTCATAAAAAATTGAGAAATTTTCTTTTTTTCATCTTAATTGATTTTGTCTCCACATTTTCTATTTAAGTAAACAAAAAAATACTATGCATGTATTTTTTATTTTTCCTTTTAAACTTATTGAACATTTTGTTAACCTTTTAAATTTACCTTCACATATTAACCATGGCTTGGACAGTTAGACAAAAATCTCAATATTCAAACGCTAATACACACACCCATAGAGGCTAGGGAGTTACGTTTTACTTAAAATCTATTTTAATTTTAGACTCCGTTTGGTACATGAAATTTATGGAATTAGAATTAAAATTCCATGGAGTTCAATAACATAGAATTGAATTCAACAATTCCAATTCATTTTTGCACTATCAATTTCAAATCCACATAATTTTTGTCCTACCAAACACCAAAATTGAAATTAAAGTCCTCAATTCCAATTCAAATGTTTGAATTTCGTGTACCAAACGGGGCCTAATAATAAATTTAATCCAATTATCATTTATAGAGTATGTATATTTTGCTTGTACTCTCTCCGTCCCGAAAATTCTTTCACATTTCAAAAAAATGACATCTCACAATCTACTGCTCGTTTCTATTAAAAAATGGGAGAAAGACCAAACTAGGACTAAAACATTGAAAATATACCAAAATAGGACTTCCATGTTTTTATTCCCGAAATAGGACTTACATTACCAAACATGGTCATATACATTACCAAAAAAGTATAGTAATTTGCACATGTACACTGTCACATTACCACAATGCAAAGTGACATTACCACAGTGCAAAGTCCTATTCCGGGAAAAAAAACATGAAAGTCCTATTTTGGTACTTTTCTCTATGTTTTAGTCCTATTTAGGATAATTTATATTAAAAAGTCACTTTTATTTTTTACCTTTTCATACCCTAACTATTACATCATATCTTTTTACTAATAATCTACATATCACGTTTTACTTTTACCCATCACATCAAAAATATTTTCAAAAAATCAACACAAAATTATTCTTCCTTTATTTTACGTCTTTAGTCAATGAAAAATGCTAAGAGTACACCAAAGATGTACTCCATTTGTCCCCAACCCCCTCCTCATTACCATAAAAATGGGCAACAGACTAGAAAAATTAAATAAATAAAATAAAAATGAGTGGTGGAGAAAGATATTAGAACCGAGAAGTAATCTTATATTAGAACCAAGAAGTAATCTTATACTCCCTCCGTCCCTAAATAGATTACAATTTTTTTCTCTCTCCTCTCGATAATTTTTGTTTGTTTACGCGATTTCATTAAGTATTTGATAAAATAAAATATTCTTGTCATCTCTTTTTTATATCTTATTAATATATCAATTTGTAAATAAAATGATTTTAAAAAGTAGAAAATTTCACTCTGTAACCCGCAATTTGCAATCAAATTGGGGACGGAGAGTATTTAAATTTCACATTTTTTCAACTCTACATAAAAATCATAAAAAATCAAAACAAGAAGATATTAGAACCGGAAAGTAATCTTATATTTAAATTTAAAAATTATTTACGAGTAAAAATAAAAATGGAAATTAAAGAAAGCTATGGAACAACATGAGTAATTGTTACTCCAAATTTCATAATCGGAATACAAATTAATCTTCAGTTATACAATTATTTTTTTTTAAATTACCAATACTAATTACTCCCTCCGTCCTAAAACTTTCTTCCCAGAGCACTATTCAAACTTCACGGGAATTTATATTTATTTGTGTTTTTTCATGGCCTATATGATAAAATAAAATATTCTTGTCACCACTTGTTTTGTTGAACTTTTGATTTAGTTTTTAAATATGTATGTTTTATTTTTTATTTCTATACCAATATTTAAATAAAATAGATTGAAAAAACTTAGAATTTTTCTTCGTTTTGCGAACCGGAAAGAAAGTTTTAGGACGGAGGGAGTAACAATTATAATCAAAACACAAAAGTTAGAACAAAATCGAAATACATATGGATGTTTCATTATTGTTTTTATCATCATTTTCATCTCATATTAGTCATGAACATATATATGTATGAGGAAATTCAGTTTTTGTCTATTTTTTGGATGGTAACTTTTTCTGTCTATGCATATTTCCATATGTACCCTTACAATTTATACCCAAACCTTCCCACCTACCCCTCTCTCTGGTCCAAAAAGTAAATACAACCACCCCCTCACCATACCCGTTTTTTCCGATATTTACTGCCTGATGAAACCCATGCCCGTCGACGGGTTCGGGTTCGGGTACCGGATTCCAAACGGGTCGGGCGTGCCGGAGAACCTCGCCGGGAAAGTTTGTTGGAAGAAACCCGAACCGTCGACCCTCTGCCGCTTGATCCCACTCTGCACTTCCTCGTCCGCCGCGGCCTGGAAATTCATCCCCGCAAGGGCGTAAACGTCATTTTGAAAACCCACGTCGTTCCCGGCCGGCGCCTGCCCGGCGGCGGCGGAGGTGCCCTGGCCCAAATCGGAGAGCGGGTTCATGCACGCCCAGTCGAAGTTTCCGGCGCCCAAATCTTGCAGATTCAGCCTCTCTTCCTGCTTGATCAGAGAGCCCATCCTCGGCAGCGCGAAGTACCGGTCGTCGATCTCCGGCAGCGACTCCAGCATGTCGTCCAGCTGTGATGACGAAGATGACGGTGACGGGTGGCTCTGTTCTTTGCTCTGCCCGCCGGCCGCCACTTTCTCTGCGCTCGTCAATTTCTTGTATATCCGGCAAAGCACCCAATCATCTAGCTGAGGATTAAAACCAAAACAAAATGTTCATTTTATTCAATTTTATTTATGTAAATAAATTTTTTTCACATTTCCTTTCTTAAACAAATGTTTTTTTCTTTAAAAGCATTACAAATCTTTAATACTCCGTAATTTTTTTCAGTTACCCAAAAACAAAATGAAAAGTAAAAAATATGTCTTTAATTTTTTCTTAATTCAAGTGTAAAATCAAATCGAGAAGTTAATTAATTTGTGGACGGAAAGAGTATTAAGATACCAAAAATTCAAACCTTGCTTTCTATAATCAAACTAATTAACATGTCATGCCACATGGAGAGTAGATTTGTTTGAAATAAAACAGAGGTCTTCTGGGTGAATTGAATCATACCCGAGAACTGCCAGCTTTCCTTGGAGCATCACAGAGCCTGTACTCATGCATGATCCAATTGGTTTTGGTTCCTTTTGGAGCTTTACCCACATAGAAAACCAGAGCTTTCTTGATCCCAACTTTCCTCCCTTGGGTGGAGATCACCTTGTCGGTTCCGGTCGCCTTCCAGTACCCGGAACCTGCCACCCGGTTTGGTCTGGACCCGTTCGGGTACTTCCGGTCTCTCGGGCTGAAGAAGTACCATTCCTTCTCCCCGAAAATCGCCTTGCCTGCAAGTTAATTAATCAACCACATTATTAACCACCCAAATTCCCAGAACACAGTACTAAATAAAAAGCTCAAACTTGTGATTGTAGATCTGAATCATCGGACTTACTGGGAAGAACCCACGGGTCGAACTTGTACAGATCGATTTCCCCGATGATCTGCAACGAGAAATCTTGGCCGGCGATCTTCCGGCAGAGGTACTGAACAAGAAGCTCCTCGTCGGTCGGGTAGAACCGGAAACCGGGCGGCAGACTCAGCTGCGAAAGCGGGTCGGTTTCTTTCATGCCCATTTCTTCCCCGGTCCGATGCGCCGGAAAGTTTGTTTTTCCGGAGAGAAAATAGAAATTTAAATTAACTAATTGATTAAATTGGGAAATGGAGGAGAGAGAGGGGGCGGCATTTATAGAAGGAAAGGAGAGAGAGAGGGGAGTAGTGCCGCCGATTCGGTGGGGCCCAGGGTCGCAGGATGTTGCCACGTATCACCGTGTGTGGAGATCACTGTTAAAAACACACTCAGCTCTTCTGAACCAGTTGTCGGGCCCCACTCGGTTTAGGAACATGACAAAAATATGGCCCCTCGGTGGCGCCTTCGCATCACGACGCGTGGCTTCTCTATATTTTACTTATTCTTTTTGCCTTTCTGTTTACTTTCTTGCTCCTTTTCTTCTTCTTTTTGTTTTCTTTTTCTTTTTTTCTGTTAGGTTTGCCAGTGGGAATATATTTTTTATTAAAAAAAGAAAAACTGATATAAAAAGGGTCCTCGTGTGAAAATATTAATAAAAAATAGTTTAGTTTAATCTGGATTTTTTTTGTTATTTACCAACTTTTATTATTTAATATATACGACAAGCAATACTTTTCTTAAATATAATAAATTTAAATATCAGATAGATTTGTCGAGTTTTTGACTTTGGGACGTGTAAAATATGTTTTCCTCCACTATTAAAAAAAACGTAAATATGTCGTTAGACTCCATCGAAATAGTTTATGAACGAATGAAAAAAATGCGTGTGAACGAAAGGATAGCGATAAACTAAAGCTAAGGAGTCGTTGATGTGACAATGCATTGACCATGTTTTCAAAAGAATGGAAGAAAGACTGCCTATATGTGGGCTTATGAAGAAGAATGCAAGAAAAGAGAACATTTAGTTCCAAAGGGATTTGAACTAATGTTCTCGAAAATGGATCAGATGTTGACTCGAACAAGTTAGTGGGTCAAAGGTTAACTGGTTGGCTAGACTAATCGATCGGGAGTCAACGACCCGATCATACATAATTAAAGTGACTTTTACATTAAATAATACTCCCTCCATCCCTAAATAAAGTTCCTCTTTCGTTTTTTCTTTGTCCCTAAATAAACTTCTCTTTTCCCTTAAAAAACCTCTTTTACCCCTTACTTTTTCATACCCTACCTATCAGATCATACTTTTTTACTAATAATCTACCTATCACCTCTTACTTTTACACATCACATCAAGGGTATTTTTGGAAAATCAACACAAAAATATCTCTCCCTTAAATCCTCAAAAAGTCAAAAATGAAACTTTATTTAGGGACGGAGGGAGTATTAAAACATACATCGTCGTAGTTCTTGATTTTCTCAACGTAGTAGCTAAATTATTTTATTCCCTAATATTTGAACAATGTCCAGCGATGATAACACTATCCGGTGATGGTGGATAACTACTTTGAACATTATCCAGTAGTGCGGTACGGTGGCTATTTACCTGAACAATACTCAGTAGACATTGAACAGTGGTACGTACTACGTTGAAAAATTAAAACGTATTGTAATACATTGAAAAACTCATTAAATTTTTAGTGAATAAAAATTACTCCGTAATAAAGGAGTATACATTAGATCTCTACCGTTCATTGTAACTAGGACTGGTTGATATATTGTTCCCCCATGTGTTTAAGTAATGATAAGATCAGGTTTCATATTTTTTTTAAAAAAATAATAATAGTATGTATAGTGTACTCGATAGTAGGGATAAAATTAAAATAGAACCCCGGCCTTATTATTGGGGCACTCTGCTTTATATTGTAACGTGTGTGATACGGTGGTCGTATCTCCTACAAATTCTTGCAATGGTCGACAAAACCAAAATTGTTGGACAATGAAGATGAATTGGAACGTAATAAAAATGATATACGAACTTATAGTAAAAAAATTGTGTAGGAACGCGCTCTGAGATTAAAGTTATTTTGAATATATCAATATACTTCAATCGGACAAAACGTTAATTCGACAACAAGTATCGAAAATCTATCTCTCAATCATATCGTGCATCCCCGTATTTGCAGAGACGGATAAGTAATCAGACATGTCTGTTCGCGTGAGGAAGACTTGCATGCGATTTTGGGCTATTTTTGAACGTATACGCTCAAATACAATCTGTTTTTATCACCTTTTGTCTATGAAAATTTAAATGATATTCATAAAATAATAATTTTCAAAATAAAAAATTTCCATCTCGACCTTGACCAGAGGCTTTGCCCCTTGGGCCCCGCTACAGGAGGCCGCTACTTTCAAACAAAACTAAAATATTATTTCCACTTCTTATTTTATTTTTTATATTTATACTAATTTTTTATATTCATACTAATTTTTGAATAAAATAAATTTAAAAAGGGAATTTTTATGTTGATCAAAAAGTTAAATTTATTTGAGGACATATGAAGCAATAAATTAAAAAATAAAGTTTTGCACATTATTCAGAAACAACAATTCTATAGAGACTAAGGTCTTAGCTTGATTAGTCTTAGCTTGTTTGCGATCAGCGTTAAAGGTTAAAATTCACATTTTTGAAAAGATTATCTACCAGCAGTTTTTAGCTTTAGCATTTTTAAAATTAATTTATACCATTAAAATTTTATCAACTTAATTCATAACGTCATAAAAAGTACTCCAAAGTCCAAACTAAGGCCTAATGCCTTTTTAACATAAATAATGTGGATAAATCAAAAGTACAGCTATTTAATGCTTTTTTTAAAGGGGTTAATGAAGTCGGAGAAAATTAGAACAGGCGGAAAGGACACGTGCACACACGTGTCACAAAGGTTAAGTAAGAAAAAAGAAACGTTTTTTTAAATTTGGCGCGTGATAGGCTGATAGCTACCGACTATACACCTATTTGGCCATCCGTTATATATTGTGCGGCCGAGATTAGACATTAAGTTCATCGTCTCATTAGATCTTACTACGTATTTGATTAGATTTGATCTGGTTAATTACTCCGTAATTTTTATTATACTCTGTAATTATGTATTTTCTCTTTCCATTGCGTTTTACGATGTTTGACCGATTTTATTTTTAATTTAATTTATTTGAATATAGAGATAAAATTTTAATATAAAATCTATGTAGTAATAGACTAGCTACAAAACTAGAAGTGACAACACTATATTAAAGTAGTTTTGACGCGTGAGGGGGCGTTAAACACCGCCCCCTTCCCTCCATTATAGCGCGTTATAATTCCTGCGTCAAAAATTTGATGCAATTTAAAGCGTTAAAACGCCTTCTCTCTTCCTTTTCTCTCTCTTTTTTCTTCTTTTCTTCTCTATAAATTAGATTATTTTTTTTTAATTCAACAAAAATACAAATCTCTCTTTACCTATCATCTTTTTTAAAAAATTATTATTCAAGTATTTTATTTATTTTTTTCATGAATGTAATTTTTTTATTTAATAAATGTAATTTTTCATAATAAATTTAATTTTTTTTATTTAATGAATGTAATTTTTCATAATGAACGTAATTTGTTTATTTAATGAATGTAATTTTTTATAATGAATGTAATTATTTTATTTAATGAATGCATTTTTTAATGAATGTAATTTTTTAATGAACTATTCTCGTTTCAATTCTTTTAAATAATTAAATATTTAAATGTTATTAATTTAATTTTAGAAGATGTGTATTTAAATTGTAAAAAATGAAGGTTTGAAGCCCCAGTTTGAAGCACCGGGGCTTCAAACCCATTTCCACTTAAACTGTGAGGTAAGTTAAAGCTGACGTGGCAGAGAGAGAAGGTTTGAAGCCTCGGTTTGAAGCCCCGGGGCTTCACGAGTATTTCCAGTGCCCTCAAGTGGACAACCAAAATATTAATCCAACCGATTGACTAGTTACAAATAGAATTCTTTCTCGTTGAAGCCAGTATTTGAGAATGCAACGGTAACACCTATAAAACCACGAGTCGCTTGGTAGTGACTTCGAGACAAATAATCAGGTCAGATTTGCCAAGAATATTTTTGCCACGGATAACTTTGCTAAAAATTTATGGGCTGCTGGGAATGAACGTTTAGACGAACACCTTGAAAAATGAGGTGATCTGATACTATGATATAATTAATATATGACGGGGTGGGGATATCTGGATTTGATAGAATTTAGGATTGGATAGAGATAACTTGGTTGGGCCACAGACACTTGGGTTAAACCACATTAAAAGATTGAATTCAATCAATTACTTAGTTTTATTCAAAAGCTTATATACTGATTACTTTTCTATTTAACTTCCGATGTGAGATAGACCCTAACACTCCCCCTCATCAAGTGGACAACCGATCCATTTTGAATCTAACTGGTTGACCACTTGGAAATAGATTCTCATCTCCTTGACGTTTTTTTAGCGCAAAACATCTAAGGGACCACGAGCCGCTGGATGTGAACTTTGAAACGAGCAATCGGGTTAAACGGGTCATATGTTGTTGGGTACATACCCCATACGGAGAACTGAGCTAAATACAAATGGGCCGTGAGGAATGAATGTTTGAATGGGCACCTTGACAAATGAGATTGACCAAAACCTGCTCTGATACCTTGATAGAATTTTAGGATGGGGTAATGTTCACTAGACTGGGCCATAAGGTAGTACTTGAATTGAATCACATTAAAAATTGAATCCAATCAATTAGTTTAATTTAAGTGCCTTATGGCATTCCTTTATCAAAATATATCCCCCGTTATTTTTTATTTTGCTTCATATCCCCTCTCTTAACATAACTAATTCAATTGGCATTCCTAGCAAAAAAAATGTTTAGATGAAACTCTTCTTTGATAACAATAACCTTAGAAAAAAAAGTTTTGTTTTTGCATTTTGAGAAGCTATTAATCTAACAACCCACAAAATTTCACAGTTTTTTTGAACTCTTTGAAGCAAAACAAAAATGAAATATAATCTCGTACCAAACATGAAGTTTAACGTCGTTTAGGCGAAATGAACAATTAATTAAGCCGTATGGAAGTTGTCGTTAACAAGAGGATTCTGATGAAGTGAAAGTTAATTGGGTACGTAGGTCAAAGCTTGAATGGAAAAAGC